GATTTATGACGACTGGCTGATGCGGACGTTAGAGGAGGAACCGTAGTTTTCCTCTTTTGAACTGGTGTGGACGATAAAGTGGGATGAGTATGACTCATCACAATGTGATTATCCGTTAGCGATGAGGTTTGACTCGGCATTTGGAGTGGTGGCGCCGACTGAGATGAACATACAATCCCAGGAGAGACAGAAACGTGTTGAGAACAGAGTGTTTTTACCAGAAGATCATGTTGTTCAAGTATCATTTTCATCACCTGTTTTGATTGATCCCGACTCACATCTGCCGAATTCGATGAACTGTCCATTGACGGTTCATTTGAGTAGTTATCAATCTGATGAAATAATTTTTCTATCAGCTTCATAAACTGATCATTGGTTAAGTGTGGTAAATCATCGAATGTTTTTGTGAGAGAATTCGAATACGTACGAATGATCAAATGTGACATTGGTAAGGATTGTACTTGAAAGATGATACGACGAGAGTTGACCAACAGAATAACGTAAATAAACTGTGGATGTGCGACACAATTTAAGTAATTATTAAAACGTACCAATAGATATGATTAACGAACGAAATGAGACAAAAATTCTAATTAGTATTGTAAAGTGAATAAGCACTGTTCAGTGCAAAAAACAGAACAATTAGAGCGGTATAAAGCTTAAAAAGAACGAATAATATTTCGCCGTAAAAAACCTGGAACACGTCCGTTCTGTGTATTATGATATGATATGTGACTTCGACCTGGGTTAGAAGGTAGTTTCTATCAAATCGCTGACTGTTCTGCAGTTTCCTGTTTTTAGAATGAGGGACAACACGGGATGGAAGAAGCAGCGACTGACCAGGACGGTATGGCCCGTTCTGTCCCTAAGGCTACGTTAAATTCATTCAATCTCAAGCTAGAAGATAATCTAAATGAATATGTTGTACTAACTATAGGCAAATACGATCGTGACAATTTAAGAGAAAACCTTTTGATGATGGTTTGTGAAGATCGTTTACGAGGTTTCGATGGCATTAATTCAAGCCTTACATTCATCGACTTGCGACATGATACGAACATCTTTGTGATTATTTCTGGCAGATTAGGAAAGAAGTATGCACGTCTATTTGCCACGAAACCACAAATTACTGGTCTGTATGTGTATTGTATCGATGAAAATAAACATCTAACATGGACCAAAAAATTGCAGAAGATACGCTGCACTGTTTCGAATCCTACACAGTTACTCAGTCGACTTCACGCCGATATAAAGCAGGTGAGTGGAAGATGGCCCATTGGTGAACAATCATTTCAAAAATCCTCCTCTATTACTTCGGAGTGGTATCATTTATTTCTTCTCGCAATCAGCTATCGACCTCAGTGTATTGAAAAATCTTATCGTGAAATGTTTGATGAATGTCGAGTATACTACAGGGGCAATCCGAGTATGCTTAAACAAATAAACAACTTTGCTGAAACGTACAAACCTAGTGAGGCAATCCGTGAGTACACACGAGAAAGTTTTCTTTATCGCATTGTTAACCGTGCGTTACGTACACAAAATATGGAAATCATCAAGAAATTTAGCCCATTTATCGCGGATCTAAACTATCAACTGCATAAACATCATCAGGAATATTATCATTCCAAAAATCATTCCATTCGTGCTGTGTATCGAGGACAAATGTTGAGCGTTGATGAACTTGAATACCTGCGTTCAGTTTGTAAATCGAGAAACCCGATTATTAAGTTGACGACATTTTGTTCGGCGTCACTTGATCCTGCAGTTGCATTGAATTTTGCGCTTTCTCAAAACGATCGCGTTCCTTGTCTGTTTGAGATTATTATTACCAACAAGTACGACATGGAACAAAGTCATGACACCGATTATAGACAAGCGTTCGCCGATATTTCCTCCTTATCATTCATGCCACATGAGCAAGAAGTGCTCTTTTCTCTTCTTACCCATTTCCGTATCAAAAATGTCGACGATTCAATAATTCATCCTGATCATCCATGGGTACTGATTGTCCTCGAACTCGATACGGATAAGAAAAGAGAATCCGAGTATAGTCATTTCTATATTATCAAATGCATCGAAAACGAAAAAGATCCACAGAATTATGCCGATATTTTGAATCTTTTCCAAGCGAACACGCAGGATGAAGTGAAATTCAATAAGATGAATTGGAAAAAATGGTGGTCTAATTTATCAAAATTTTGGGGAACGAACAAACAAGGTGAGCAGTCGCTACTTCTGATATTCTACCAATGTTTTACGGAAGATAAAGATTGGTCCAGAAAAGCAGTGGCAATGTACAAAGAACTTCTGCATTCTCATAGTGAAATTCAATTACTTCAGTCATCTTTTCCACTTTTATTTGGAGCATACAAAACATTTCAAGTGACCCCAACGAAATGGATTGCTTTGTACGAAGATTATTTGAAACAGTTTTGCACAGCGAATACGAAGCAAGTCATCGAATGTCTCTATTTTGCTGGAGAAACTTATGAGATGATTTCTGATAAAGAACGTGCATTGGAAAGCTATCAAACAGCCATTGCTTTAAATCTGAATGATGAGCACCAGATGAATCGGAAGATAGAAGATCGGTTGAGGAAGTTACAGAAGTCTTCCAAAACAATCGCAACAATGCATAGCAACCGTAGAGCAGCGATCAATGACACTGACAAAGATATTCAACGAATGTATCAGGCTCAAGAAGAGCAATGGTCAACTTTCTGGAAGCTCAGACGGAATGCTGCTCCAAACGCTTCAAAGTTAATACATTTACGAGCACTGAGAGACTATTTGATGAGACGTGAGGATTGGTATGGTGCCTCTGATTTAAAGATGATCCTTCGCTTACCAGATGAAAATACTCAAAATCTGTCCGTAGAAGGTTATCGATCCTATTTCTTGCCTGCTGTAGAACGGCACATCTTATCTCCTGCAGCAACAGCCGACTGTGTTAACCATCGTTCTCTTGCTCTTTACCGTTACAGAAAGTATATGCGTGAATGGCTGCAGCTGAAAGAATTAGAGAGATTCCTGAGACCGTTGCAGGAGAACTTGGGTAATACACTCTCCGCAATCCTGCCGCAACTGGATCAACTAATTAAAAAACTCGCCCTGCTCATCACCATCTGTACGACTTACATATGCATCGAAGCAGGAACTGGTAAAATCAATGTGGGCCATATTCAGTTTATCAACGTCACCAGCAAACACATAGAACAACTTGCTTTCTTTGATCTTCGCGATCAGAGTCTACTTCTCGGGTTGGAAGCGATTCGAGAAGAAACTCCTTCTACGGCAGTACCTCCCATGACTACGCTAGACCCGTTTGATTACCTGGACCTGTCATAGAGTGCAGGATGAGCATATATCTGTGGAGAGTATACGAGTGGGTAGACACAGTCATGCTATTACATCCACTGAACGATCATCTTCTCAAATTTTTCGCTTGTAGCACCGAACTACCTCTTCTTTGCGCTTCTCAAGGACAGAGGATATCGCATTTTTCTCTGCAGAAATGATTTAAAAAGATCAATTTTCAATCACCCAAGTATTTTCGTGACACGAATGGTAGTCACCAGAGATCGAATTCGATGCCTACAATGGATACGAACCACAAAAGCGCTTACCAAAAGGCATGCCTTTTATTTAAAAACTGTTTGAGCGTTCAATAATTTGTGGGGGCTTAAAAAAGAAAGAAAAGGAGATAGAAAAAGGGTAGAGAAAATAGAGGCTAGCCATATGAAATTAGCTATCAAATCGTTTTGAGTATTCGATATATTTAATAACAGCGAAATAGATTGTAAAGTACTTATTATATTCAAACCTATCTTGTAATAGCACATTTTTAACATCAATTCTAATTTTTCGTGGTATGGAGTCAGTTACGGATTTCATCACCGTAGCGCGATTAGGAGCAAAT